ATTCATCAATAAGTAACTTATTGTGCGAAAATTCAAATGAAATTACTCAAAGTTTCAGCAAAAAACTACAATGAATGATCACTCACCAGGCAAATCCAATTTATCGTCGGCCATGTTCAACAAGTTATAAATTAGTTTAGTTCCTACCTACTAGTTGTCGCTGCTCGTCTCAGTATTTCAAAACACATGTATATGAGAAATGCCACACGGTCCCAAAACGTAAATTGCGAACAAAATAATAATAACTGATTAATAGTATGTACACTATAGCGTACTATGGGTCTGAAAGGGTTAAGTAAAACCAGAGTTTACGATTGGTTTTCACGTTTTAAAAATGGAGAAATTTCTATTGAAGACCAACTTCGTTCAGGACGCCCCTAAACCAATGAAAACGTCGTGTTGTGCACGCGGAGTTCGTTTCCCCAGGTAATTTGCACTGCACTGCACTGTTCATAACACGATATTGTATATTATTTATTAGAATCAAATCATTTATTGTTTTTTCATCTAATCATTTGTATTCCACTGAAAATAAATAAATAACCCGGAAAAAATCTGAAATTTTCAAAAATTTCAGGCCAACGTGGATCACAAAATGTTTAAACCATCCCAAATTGCAATTATAGCAATCAGATTAAGCTCCATCGCTACACCTTTAATAGAGAATACACATACTTATCTCTCAGCATATACGAGGACCGTTCAAAAAATAAGGTGAATGTTCAAATTTCGTGGCTTACGTAGGGAGAGCCCAGGACAGCCAAGACCAAAAAAAGTACATCGAGTTCGATCAAATGTCAAAGTTTTGCTGACTGTTTTCTTCGATTACCGTGGTGTAGTGCATCAGGAGTTCTTGCCACATGGTCTTATGGTCAATGAGTAGTATTATCTTGAAGTTATGCGCCGCTTACGAGAAGCAATACGAAGAAAACGTCTGATATTGTAGAAAAACAATTCATGGCTTTTGCGTCATGATAATGCACCTGCTCACTCATCATTGCTTGTTCGTAATTTTTTGACCAAAAACAACACCGTTATCATGCCTCAGACACTGTATTCATCAGATTTGGCTCCCTTCGACTTTTTCTGTTCGGAAGATGGAAAGGACTCAAGAAATTGATGAACATAAATATTGATACAGCCAAATTTTCAGACCTCGCGAAAAAACTTATCCCTGACGGTACCTATATAAATGGTGGATAAATGGATTGTTACTTTTCTTAGTTCCAATTTTATTGTTATTATTGATCAAGAGATTATAGTTTGAAGTTTTTTCCTGCTATTATTGACTGAAATCGATTGTAGTATTACTGATAATCAATTATTATTATAATCAGGTTTTTCTTAATGTTCATAAGACAACACGAATGGCGCGATGTTTGAGGAAAACGAGGTTTTAATTGTAGATTATTTACAAATTTAGATATTCTGCTGCTGATATTATTACCTTGCGATGTTGAAAAGCCTTGTAATATATTTGAACTATCTGAATTGACAATTTCATGGGCATTAACATTTAGTTCTTGAAATGAAGAGGACGATGCTGTAACGCTGGAGCTAGTTGTTGGGATTATTCTTTCAGCAATAGCCTTGTAATGAGAAATAGATTGATCGATGTAACCATCAGCGACTGTCGTAGATTTCCATCCTCCGTGCCTCTTAGAAGTACCTACAGCAAAGAAGCAGAAGACATTCTGAAACAATGACCTGTATATTCCCTTGATTCACAAAAAAACCTTAAAAATTCAGAACCGGAGCCATTTCCGCTGAAACCGGAAGTGACCGGAAAGTGAAAAATATGTGAAAACATTCCTCTCCACATACCATTCAACTATACCAAATCTCATTTCAATTCTCCTAATAGTCTAGAAATTATGACTTGTCTAATAGATTCGTTGACACCCGGTATATATATGCATATCACTCTATATATTACATAAAAAACCGCATCAAAATCCGTTGCGTAGTTTTAAATATCTAAGCATATAGGTACATAGGGATAGATAGTGGAAAGCGAGTTTGTTTTATACTATGTAGTGATTGCTGAAAATCTAGAACTATTGCTGATCACTTCAATATTTCTAGTTGAGAATTGAATAAAAAAGCAGTGTCGTGAAACTCCAGCCTCAAAAATTTCAAACAAATAAAAACGTCAACAATGCGGATTTATACGACTCATCCGAAATTAACTCGGATGCGTGTATTAGACCCGTGATAAATGGCTCTCATTTGCCGCTACGACAATTTGTAGACATTTAGGAAAGACACTTTTTTTCTCATAAATCTTTCTTTTAATAGCAATGCGGGTATGCAAAAGGTCTTGCTTATAACATTTCAACTAAAACGGCTGAAACACGACGTGACGGATGAGCGCTGCATGTTGCATTTTTCTTTCTTTTTTCTTGCTTGTGTTGAGATCGCACCCATTCCAAGAAGTTGAAGTGAAAACATGATATTTACCTATATATGAAAGGCGTTGTATAGGAATAGCAATATGATTGATTGAATTCCATAAACATGTTTGACGTTTATTACATACCAATCTTTTTACTTTTTTCTCTTATCCGAGTAATGATAAACTAAGAACTGAAAAAAATAATATCATTTCAAATATTCCTCAGTTCTGAACCAGAATCTAGGAATAATATACCAATTATTTTATAAAGATAGTATTTTCCAAGAGAAACCTACATTTTTTGTGACTCAGTATGCTTAGGATGATCACGAATCTGAAAACACTAAAATTCACATTAAAACTATTTATTCATAATTCAACACTCCATTTCCTAGGTGTGTCCCTCAAAATATTTATTTCGTTAAATAGTCCAGTCATTTGAAGTTTTAACTACGGAAAAATTCGTACTGAGCTGAATTTTAGTTTACACCTTCATTATAGCGTTTTAATGAAGATGTGAAAAATCGACATTGATATTGTGCCGGCTAAAAAAATTATAAGGATCAAAAGGTCAAGGAAATCAGTTTTTCGCAAATATCTCGCGACCTATAGCTCGGAGGTCAATAAAGGTTATTCCTCATACGATTATCTACAAAAAATGTCTGTTGCATTTTTCTATAAAGTCAATCGTTTCCGAACTAGAGCGCTGAGAAATCGACTATATTATGATGATGCACTCATTTCGGCACCACTTTTGAGGTAGAATGCAAGGCGCGTTTTTTTTACATGGTTTTTCCCGTAGGCATAATCCATGAACTGTAATAAAAAACTTTTTTCATTTTATGCTCAATAATTTTTTATTTGTACATTGAAAAATAGCGGAAAAATTTTGTAGATATTTTCTTTTATATTCATTCGTCGTCGATATCCTCAATTTCAACTTCATCAAAAGTTGCTGACAAAACCTCGAGTGGACTTATTGCTGTATTTAAATCAACATCTTCATCATTTTGTTCACTAGTGGACTCTGCGTTTAAGCATGACTGACCACGACAATGTCCACAAGTTTTAAAACATCTCAATCCAATCTTTTTACATCCACATTTTCCGCCACAACCTTTTGTACAATTACAAAAGATTGTGTTTAGTAGATCATCGGGTGCTGATGGCAGTAAAGTTGTTATTGGTTGTGTTATATTATTTTTCAACTCCAAATTCCACTGTTCTGGATCAATTTCTTTTCTTAGCCAGGTTTGTATTTGATAATAAAATTGATAAATATGCTGTTGAGCTGAGAAGTGGGTGGTAATAATTGAAATTTCACGACTGTGCTTTGTCTTGTTAGTTTAGCAAATCTGCAGTATCTGTACTCGGCAGCATTGACAAGGGCAGTATCTGTAATTGTCAATTGAATTTTCTGATTTTGGAGCACCGTACATTGCTACTAGAAAATGTATTCCAGCATTGACAAGGGCATCTCTGCCAGTGAAGGTCATTTGTATTATATATAGCTATCTAAGCAGATATGTCTCTTATGTGACATCTAAGCTCTATAATTGGAACGACAAACTCGGGGAAAATATTGGTTATTTATGTAAAATCTTCAGTTACCAAAATTCAAATGTTAGTTTTGTTGCATTTATTCATTGTGGTAATCGTTTACATAAATATCAATTTCAACTCTTCATACAAAATGGTAAATTTGGAACATATTCAATGAACCAGTGTAAAATGCATAGCAGATCCTAAAGTAAGAATGGAATTGATAAACTGAACTGAGAAAATAAAAACCGTTTTACAATATATCCTATCGATATTCTCTGAAAGTAGACGAAATATAATTAAACTATACTTACATTCATTGCTTTGCTTGAGAGTGAGAGATAAATATAATATATAATGTCAACATCATAAATAAAGTGATTTTTTCGTCCTTTCAATGCATATCAAGATAAACATGAAACCAATACACAAACGCGTTGCATTTATCATCCGATATCATATGAAAGTGAAATAAATCTCATTGGTATTTCATTAAGATGCATCATGATTGCAACTTTTGAACAATTATCTCCTAAACAAAGAAATTATGAGAGAAATAAGCATAACGAACTCCCTTACGAATATAAATGGATTATGAATACAATGTCTGGATTCTCCTTACAAATGCGCCTTGTATATAATCGACAAAAAACTCAAACAGGGCTTTCTGTCTGGCTGCAGCTTCAAGTATGGATCAAGTAATTATGAAAGTAGGAAAATCCAATTGACTGCTCACTCCATGAAGATAGGTACATGTATTTGAAAATTATAACGATAGTTATAGTGCAATAAAAATGATATTCAAATACCAAATGTGAAATGCTAATTCACGAAGAATGACGAGTAGGTATTTCAGAGCTCAAAAACTTTATACTTTCATTAACATATCTTTATGAAGACAAAAGAGTCAAAAACATTAACGAAAAATAGTCTATTTGGCAAATATGCCTATGTTATAATAGAAGCACCTATGATGCCATTTCAAAAAAATAACCAATGTATGAGAATATGAACTGAGCAATCCTTTCGACGTGTTCAATCGTATTATATCAACGTCAAACAGAATGACACATGTCAGTCTAATCTAACCTAAGTTTTCTCAATATCATTCCATAAAATAAAAAGCCAAAAAATGGCGTTCAATTTCGCTGCATTTTCATATATCATTGCTCTAATAATTGATGCTTTTCTGATATTTTTCTCATTATTTCATGTCATAGCGTTCGATGAACTAAAAACGGACTACAAGAATCCAATAGATCAATGTAACAGTCTTAATCCAGTAAGTCTTTAGTTAATTTTATTCAATATTTCTCTAGAGATATCTTTCAGATACAACTTTTTTTTCAGCTTGTCATACCTGAGTATTTACTACATATAATTTTCAATATCCTCTTCGCCGCTGCTGGTGAGTGGTTTTCCTTGTGCTTAAACATTCCTCTGATAGCCTATCATGTGAATCGCTATCGTACTCGTCCTGTAATGTCAGGTTATGGTATATACGACCCGACTAGCATTATGAATGCAGATGTACTCACAAGGTGCCAACGTGAAGGATGGATCAAACTTGCTTTCTATCTTCTTAGTTTCTTCTACTATCTTTATGGGTATGTTATAGCTTTAGAGAAAGATCAGAGACAACAAACGTGATAGGAGTTGATAGGATTCGTAAGGTTTTGCTTAAATCAAAGTATAAAACATGTTTTCAGTTTGGTCTACTAAGTTGTAGGAGCTTTTCATTTTCTTGGCGAATATTTATGGGGTCCTGCAATTGATTCCAACTTGCAATTCTAATGCAACTCGACTACATAATGAATGAGTAAAATATTTTTGTAAATAATATTTTGTTATCATATAGTGTTGAATTCTAAAGTACACACATGCTAACACTGGTCTCTCATTGAATGAGTAAGAATTAGGTATATTCATTTGGCATGATTTGTGGCACATCTGATAAGCTAAGAGCAAATAAAGATAACTGTTCCTGTGATTCAAGTTTTTATTGTTTACAATTTTACTTTTTTTATCAAAGATTAGTAATAATATTGTTTGTTATTGATAAAAAAACACCAAATACTGTAGAAGAAATAAAAAAAATTATTATTTACTTATTTCAGCATAACTGAAATGTATGATAAATAATTTTTTTCACTTTTTACTATCTCCAGAAAATAGCACTGGAACTAAACTCTAAGAAACCAATTTTCTCAGAAACTTTCTGATTGCAAACCATAAGAAAAACGTCCAATTTCAAGCTGGCCCTTTTTAAACAAATCACTGTTGATGAAATTTGAGAAAGAACACTTATTATTTATATGGCCTTCAAGATATGTGTATATCATATGCATATATCTGCACTATATGGATACATTAGTAACATGACTTCCTATTGAAATATATTTTGATCAATTTGTCACTGAGCAGTATTTTACTTATTTTTTGTAAGCTCTCATATTTTGTGGTGTTTTTGATATTTTGTTATTTATAACTACATGATTTGTATTCAGTGTAAAAAGATTCAATTATCAGTACAGTGTGACCCATTTTCATTAGATATAGTAGATTATGGTATTTGTAATGTTTTGATGTGTATTCATAATATTACAATTCAAATTCATCAATTTATACATTACCTTTCTGGCATTTTACTATTAACATGTCAAACTTCATTATGAAAAAAATTATGAAAATTTATTCCAATTTTCTTCACTTGAAAATAAGAACCACACTAGTACAGTCTATCACTATTAGGTGAATTGAGTGTCTTCCTTTTCATATTATATTTTTCACAAAACATCAACTGCCTCTTTCAATTTTCATTACTGTTCAGTGTTCACATGTCCATTACATTGCATCTTTTTACTCAGCAAGACATATTGATAGAACCGAAACCCTAATGTTTTCTCCTATTTGTTCCAGAATGATATACGTGTTAATTTCCAACTAAGTAAAGGCCCAGCAAGTGTCATGAAGATCAAATTGTTTAGTAACAAATACAGAGACAGTGGGGATTCGGTTCGATATTGTGCAGTTTTTCCTGAAAGAATTTTATTCAAAAGAAAACTCATAATAATCGGAACCGGCTTTGCTGAAGGAAGGTGTGGTGTAAGTTTTATATTTTTAGATTTTGTTGTCAGATAGACAAACAGTTGATGTATCATTTCAGCATTCTTTGTAATTGAATTGAATATAATATTTATTAACAAACTAGTGTGAGTTTTTGGATAACCAATTTTCCTCAATATCACCAGGTGAGTATATTACCACAAAGACCCTGATGAAATAATTGGAGTGCATGTTAATAGATCAAACCCTTGCCTTTTATCATCAACTCCTACTAGTCCTTTGAAAACTTCTGAATATTGCTTGAATGGTATCATCATGGAGTAATTGGCTGAAAAAGTAACAGTGATATTTCGGCAGTTCGATTTAAAAGTGTGTTTTAAAAATTTTTGGGAAACATTTCAGTTCTCCCTCCAAAATGTTATTCACTGGGCTGCAAGATGACAAATAGTGGCCAGAGATCCGCTTCTGGGGTGTAATACTGTCGTCATTAAAAAATGTTTCATTCTTTTATATTGTACTTTATGTACTGAAAAATGAATGAAAAAATACTTATGTGAAAAATCTACTATTTCTGTTTATTATGTTTCCCAATCTCAAAGAGATTTCATCAACATAGGTAACATTTTTTTTTTTTCGTATACCCCAAATTATCATTCACAGCAAACTACATGAATATTTCAAAATGTTGGACATATAGCCTTGAAAATATTTCAACATTTTGAGTTACACTAAAAACATTTTCATTCAATTCATGAAGATTTCGCTGTGAGACTTTCTTTTTGGTAAAAAGATCAAGATCTTTTTATTTTATATAAAAGATTAATTGAAACAATTTTGAGAAAGCCACATCGATATATTGAATAAACTTGAAACTTTGTATAATAAAAATAACTACATATTATAACTACATATTTATTCTGTAACAGAAATAAACATTTTTTGTAAATAACATCTACAGAATAGAAGTATAAAGTTTGAAACAATATGAATTTGTGGATGTGAAATTTATTATTACAAATGAAAAATTCAGTTCAGTGTTATTGCTGGCTCTGTAGCAGTTAGACTTAGTTAAATTAATTTAGATTTTTTTATCCTGAAGCACAATTGCGTTCAACAACCTAAATCCCAATATTTTGAAAAATTGGGAATGTGAAAGGTAGACATTTTTCAAAAATTATTCCAAAAGAGCTTCAAAATGATATTTTTCTTTACATTTACCTGCATGTCTCGCCTGCACTGAGCTAACAATAAACTCTATATGGGAAAAACATCCAACATCACCCATGTTAAAAATGTATGATAATTTTCAAAGTTTTTAAAAACATATCAAAATTTTAATAAATAAAATGCTCTAAACCTCCGCTGCATTTTTATGAAAATAACTCGGTTACATAAAAACATCTGAAATATTGCATTGTGAAGAAAACGAGAAATAACTTAAAATATTCTTCTGTTTTTTACTGAACAGTTGGATATTATTATTTGGTTAACCTTTGGAATGTTTTATAAACTGTTATTTTATTTTTGGTGAAGATATAGGTACATTATGGAATTATAGATTTTATTTGTTCTATATTTTGAACTCAAAAACATCTAATGAAAATGTTTTTCACGCACATCTGAACTAGTTCACTTTTTTGAACTGCCTTTGACTAACCGAATTAACATCATGAGAAGATAATTGAAACTAAAATCATTTATAGTTATCTGCTGATGATAATTCTAACAAGGTTTATGAAATGTGTATGGAAAAAAAGTGCATGGTTCTGATGAGTGGGAAAACGTTTTCACTAGATTCATTTTATCCCAGAGGTTCCAATTCTACCTATCAACCAAAGATGATCAGTAAAAATATTATAACCTCATTTTTCTATGCATAAAGTGTAGTTCGTTGAAAACACAACAAGTCTATTGATTTTTCCCAGCAGCTTGCAAATTGTAGGGTTATTAAAACAATGAAATTGATGTCCAGAAATAATTGCAATTAAATGTCGAGCATGAAGGCCTTCTGCTCTAGAACTAGAAGTGAACAATACATAGACACATCTGAAAACTTGCCACTTTTCAAGCCGAAACGTGTATGCATCTTTTTCTATATGATAAATTACAGATTTCTATTATATATATGAACTCATATATTTTTGAATTCTCAATGACTGGCAGGTCTTTCACATTTCCAGTGCTGCATTCTTCATAGTCATGAGGGAACTGTCATTCGTTGAGTAATTGTAGATTTTATTCAATGAATATATTGCTTGTTCAATCGATCAATCACCGACAGCGTGACCCTTTTATTTCAACAATTTTATTATAAGTATTTTTATTATGATTACACCATTTTCAACAAACAGTCTCTTCTCTTTGAAGATTTTGGATTGCAAACATTAATAGTGAATAAACTTTGAGTCTTCAAAGATAAATTCAGAACAACTTATACAATTTCATCATACACATAAACCTTCTATGTTTAGGATATGGGAAGGAAGTAAAATCACCTATATATAGTTGTCGAGAACACTACATTCACATCCAGAGAACTGTATGTTGAATTTTAGTTGAAGATGATCAATTTCCTAATAAAAAAAAACCCAAAACTATATATACAATAAGCAATTGGCTTATAACTTATTGTACATTGATAAATGTATTAAAATTAAAGATATGTTACATATTTTGAAAGATACTAGTATTTATGAGATCTATACAGTGAATTTAATGGCAATACGCTATTTCTAGCATCTATTGTTGCAAAGACAAGACATTGGCTTATTTCGAACAATAGCTGTGACAACCTTCTGGGTTCGTCCATTTATCACATTATGTTCTTTTTTCACCACCCCTCTCCCTGTTGATGAGTGCCGAGGTTAAAGACTACCCCCTCCCCTACTCAAATTCACATGTATTTTCTTGGTACAACATAACTTAAAAATTTTCATGATAGTATCTTCAAATACTACTACTTTAATTCTAAAGAATGAATTACAGTAATGAAAAAATGTCCAGACAGATACTAAGGTTGCAGGTTACTTCTGACTGGAATAAATATAATAAAAGAAAGGTTTAGTCATATGGAAAACAGATAATTGTACTGGTACTGGGAAATTATCCTCAGACCACAGATGGGCAATACTTTCTTAAAAAAAAGCAAGTGGTTTATAATTCGCACTTTCAAAGGCACCATTAATACATCTGAATATCTCACTGCATTTCCTTTCTTCTTGCGACATCTCGTGATTTTTTTAAAACCCCTTCTCGTTTTTGAGCTTCACTTGATTCATGGACGAACCCTAGTTCTATTGTTATTTTGATTTGTAAATTGCTTAAAAATATATATTTTGCCCTTTTTATGTGGAAGGAATCGATAGAATAATTATAAAAATAATGCAATTATTGAGTATTCCTACATTCTGAAACGAAATTTGAATATAATATATTTATAAAGATAAAGGAACACATCAGAGGACTCCAAATGCCCGGTGTCATCCTTAGAATGAAAATCTGGAATATTAAAATACTGAAAAGAATTTGACAGAATTAATATATAAGTTTGAAGTTCATCAAACAACAAGTTTTACAATTTTATACTTACCTCAATTACCTAATTTTCCCAATAACCATTCCTCTGTTAAATCTTCCAACTCTCTAATCTCATATCCCCTCGTGAGATCTGCTTCTTGTTGGAGGGCTATTTTTGAACCAGCGTACATCATCTGCAACTCTGCATGACTGTCTCTTGGGGTGAAAAAAATGAAGCACAAAGGATATGACACCCTACCATCTCTATGCCTCTGGCGGTATGAGAGAACAATGTATCGTGGTTGATGACTTGGCAGATATTCTTGAAGGTCCTCAAAAGAGATGCTATCAAATTCTCTGTCAAGTATTATTTGCTGCTTTTCTCTGTCAACTTTCACTGTAAAAACTCGACATTCAGAATTTAGAACAAAACTTTAGGTATTAGAATATTTTAAATTTGAATCTATGACTGGGATCAAAGGGAAGTTGTACGAATGATTTCCATCATAAAAAATCTCACATATTTTAATTTCCATTATGTTGGAACAAATTTGTTACAAAAAAGTGACTTCTTGATAACTCAATATCAATAAAATATTTGCTTCTTGTTGAGTTATGAATATGAGAACATCATTCAGTTTAGTTGATTTATAATTTTATTTTATCTAGTTGTATATAGTTGCTATGGTATAAAAAAAAAAAAAAAAAATAGTTTGTGTCAATAAAAGTCAAAAGAAACATTTCATTTTCTTTAACTGAGGAAAGTTATTAATTCCAAAAGGTTATGGGCCCAGATGATAAGTTGGGAATTCGTCAGTTCGATGGTACAGATTTCGACCATTGGAAATTTTGAATGGAATTACTGTTCAAAGAACATGAAGTTGAAGAAGTGATTAATGAAGCTGTTCCCTTGCCGGAAGACTCCAACTGGAAGAAAAAGGACATCAAATGCCAGAATATTATTGTGAAGTGTTTAGCTAATTCGCATTTGGAATGCGTTAAAGATAAGAAATTTGCGAAAGAAATGTGGGAAGCACTAGAAAATACATATCAAAAGAAAGGACTTGCCAGTAGAATTTACTTAAGAAAGAAGCTTTTAATGCTAAAATCGGAGGAAAACGAAAGTATGGAAAGTCATTTGAGAAAATTTGATGAGATTGTGAGACATTTGCAAACGGCAGGTGAAAAATTTGAAGAAGCTCAGGTTGTTACACATTTATTGATTACGTTACCATCATCGTATTATAGTTTAACTACAGCATTAGAGACATTATCTGAAGATAAACTAACATTGGATTTAGTAAAAAGAAGAATATTCGACAAAGAGAACAAGATAAACAATAGACATAGTAGTGATGAACTACAAAGTGCATCCTTCTTTAATAAAAGTGGAGAAAAGAAAAATCTAGAATCCAGACCATTTAAATTCAATTGCTACCGATGCGGAATCAGAGGCCATACAATGTCAGAATGCAAATACAAGGGTCACTTTCAAAATCAGAAAAGAAATTATAGAAGTGTTAACTCTAGTGAAGCGGAGCAAATGAGCGAAGAAAATGAAGAGTCTGCAAAGGGAACCGTGGCTAGTATTGCTTTTCTGACATCAGAACAGACAACTGAAAATGACGAGAAGAAATTATTATCATTTTTTATTGACTCAGGAGCAACAGATCATCCCATTAACGATGACAGATTCTTTTCCTTTGCGAAGGTACTAGAGAAACCAATTTCGATTGCAGTCGCGAAATCAAGACAATCATTATCAGCAACAAAAATTGGTCAAATCGAAGTGAAACAAGGAAATTTAGACATAACAATAAAGAATGTGCTTTTTGTTCCTGATTTGAGAGTAAATTTGTTATCTGTGAAGCGACTGGAAATGATGGGATTCAAAATTGTTTTTGAATGTGAAGAAGCAAAATTATACGCTGAAGCTGTTTAATTGCCAAAGGTAGTAGAAGTGATCATCTTTATGAAATAACTTTCCGTTTGAAACAAAGTTATATAGCTCATATGACGTATAACTATGAAGAAGACTTGTGGCATCGCCGAATGGGTCACGTAAGTCAGTCCAATCTAAATAATCTTGTAAGATTCAAAATGGTGGAAGGAATTGTAAATTTCAAAAGTAAGAGGGCGGAACTCTGTGAAGAATGTATGAGAGGAAAACAAACAAGACTGCCATTTAAGGACATCAATCAACCAAGAAGTAGAAGGCTATTGGAGATCATTCATAGTGATATTTGTGGACCAATCACTCCTTCAACCTGGGATGGATATAACTATTTCATTACGATTATTGATGATTATACTCATTTCACAATTGTTTATTTGCTGAAAAGTAAAAATGAAGTTTTGAAGTATTTTGAAATGTATGAAGCACTAGTAACAAGCAAATTTTCATTGAAAATTGCAAGTCTCAGAGTAGATAACAGTGGTGAATATAGATCAACCGCTCTCAAAGTATTTTGTGAAGAAAAGGGAGTGAAATTGATCTACACGATGAGATATACACCTCAACAAAATGGTGTTGCTGAAAGAATGAATAGAACACTTCTTGAAAAGGCAAGAACAATGATATTTGATGCCAAAATGAAGAAAGAAATGTGGGGAGAAGCAGTTTTTGCAGCAACATATTTAACAAACAGAAGTTACACACGATGCCTAATAAAAAAACCTCCAGCAGAAATGTGGACAGGATTTAAACCAGATTTGTATAAAATAAGGGTATTTGATTCCAAGGCCTTTGTTCAAATACCTAAAGAAAAAAGAACAAAATTAGATGAAAGAAGTGACATGTAGAATGATTGGTTATGCCAAAAATGGTTTTCGCCTGTGGAATGAACATGAAAGGAAGATTATTCTATCAAGAGATGTGATTTTTGACGAGAGGCGTCCTCAAATCGAAAACCAAAATGTTGAACATCAAATAATAATGCATATTGATGAAATGAATAAAGCAAAAGGAATTTTAAATTGTACAAAACCTGAAAAAACCATAGAAATACTTAATGAAATTCCAGTAGAATCAGAGATAATAAATTCAGAAAAGGAAACGAGAAATCTTGAAAGTAGATTGTCAAATATTCAAAATGAAACGTCAATCATTGAAATGCCATCAATAGAAACTACGTCTGAAGTGAATCAGAAAAGAATTACAAAAAAAATCAATACTTACTGAAAATCGGTTTTGACAGATCTGTCAGTGATTACTGTTTATATTCCAAATTCTGTGATGATGAAATAATATATTTGATTATTTTTGTCGATGACTTACTTCTTACTGGAAATAGCCAACAAGGAATAGAGAGAGTGAAAAGGGAACTAAAGAAAGAATTTCATATGACTGACCTTGGTAAAGTAGAATTATATATGGGAATGCATATCCAACAAAATTTGGAGAAAAATGAGCTGGTCATCAGTCAGAAAAAAAATATCGAAAGTCTTTTGAGAAAATATGAAATGGAAAACTGTAAATCAGCGACGAGAAAAGGCTCCAGTAATTATTGGTTTTGCTGATTCTGATTGGGCAAATGACATCGATAGGAAATCAACTTCTGGTTATTTATTTAAATCATTTGGAAATCTGATTTCTTGGACAACAAAAAAACAACTGTGTGTTTCACTTTCAACTACTGAAGCTGAGTACGTTGCTGCTTGTAAAGGAATTTGGTTAAAAAATCTGATAACTGACATGAGAATAGACTTTTGTAGCCCCATACAAATATTTGAGGACAATCAAGGATGTATTCAGCTTTCCAAGAATCCCGATACAAAACGGTCCAAACATATTGATATCAAATATCATTTCATCAGAGAAAAAGTAATAAGCAAAGAAATAGAGCTGAGATATGTGGAATCGAACAGGCAAGAAGCAGATATATTGAAGAAAGGACTGACAAGAGATATGTTTTTAGAGCTCCGAAGTCTATTAGGATTGAATGATGGACTTCTTATTCAGGTGGGGTGTTGAGTTATGAATATGAGAACATCATTCAATTTAGTTGATTTATAATTTTATTTTATCTAGTTGTATATAGTATAAAAAGAAAAAATAGTTTGTGTCAATAAAAGTCAAAAGAAACATTTCATTTTCTTTAACTGAGGAAAGTTATTAATTCCAAAACTTCTTTCAGATTGACTATTCTTGTTTGAATGTTTGTATCTGGAATGAATATATTTTGATAACTGGACAGGTAGAAGACAAAAAAAATGTCCAAGCCTTTTTTCAAAAAGCTACCTTCTCAATACAATTTTATTAAAATATGTTGTTTTTTATATTTAGGATTCAGAGGAAGAATTATTTGAAAACAACATAATAATCAGCTAATGGGTCAAAGGTTAGTCAGATACTGTCAAATTTAACATACAAACTAGAGCAGCTGTGTCTTCCCCTTTTTGGAACCGAAATTCTTTCAAAGCTTGTTTTACTTCAGGGGTCACTTTGCATATATTTACACCTCCTCCCGACTGAAAAAAGTTCTTATTAATTTACCAGAAAACAATTGACATTAACTGAAGTATACCATTTTCTCTTTGAATGTATCAACACTATCAACATAACCTTTTAAACTAACGAAAATTGAAATAAGTCAAAAAAACCGTCGGGCGTGGCCAATAACTAATATGCAACGTTGCCACATGAAAACTCTTTTATCCAATTATGAACATTTTGCCCCGAAGCCGTGAATGGCACAGTTAGTTACCCATGCATATAACAAACACTATATTTATTGCGAATTGTAAAGTAATTTTCTTTATATGGTCTTCACAATATATAACCATTGCAACAATGAATTTGTCAGCAAATATTTCTTTGAGTTTTATTCCTTTTTTGCTGTCGTCACAAATTATTATTCGGGAGGAACCACTTAGGAGATATTGGAAACAACCTTGACGTCATTAAATAACTGCAAGGAAATAATCTGACAGAAACTACAGCACTACTCTGACATTACATTCATTGATCAAGTTATGTCATTTCTCTTATAAAAAAGAACTAGTTGTTGCCCGTGGCTCCGCCCGCGTAGAATTTGGTTTGTCACATTGAGTTTCGTGGCAGACCATTTTAAACAAATAGTTACAATATTTTTTATCAACCCAAAACTTAAGGTTTCCAACTTCAAAACTGACAAAATTCAATACCCCCATTTTTCTCCTGACTCCCTTTCTTGATGCTTATTGACGCTAAACAAAGAACCAACCTGCTAACCTGGATATTTTAAAATTCTAGGTTCTGTAGCTTCGGCCGTAACTCAATATTAGAACGAGCAACAGCTAATAATTTATATTTTCACTTCAAAATTGCAGTACCTAAGAAATATGCCAATTGCACTGAGTAATGAATAGCTTCGAGAATCGAATTATGTTACCTATAAAGAAATTCGCAAAACTTACACAACCATCAACGACGTCTGCTCATGTTCGGGTCGCGTTCTCGGCGATGGCGCTTCATTGCTTAGACCGCTTTTCTACCGCGCCCTCTAACCCCGCGCATCGTCTCCCGTCGTCTTACAGTAGACGCGATGTGTAATGTCGTACTGCGTTGCGTGAAGTTATTATTATCGTGATAACTTTTAAACGATTCGTCCAAATTACTTAGACAAAGACAAAGTTATCTATATCTACTCAAAACGATAATTGTATCAATGTTTATAAGAATTTGACAGATATTCTAAAATGTGCATTGTAAAAAAAATATCCCATTCAATGTATTTGAATCATAGACGAATGCATTTTGAATACATGGTCGCCACAAAACGCCTCTTATCGTTTATGATTCATTCTTCATTACAAATAAATATTTTAGCGTCTCTTTCATTATACTGTGTGTTTTCTAAACTATATTAATGAATTTACCACAGATGTATGCCGGTGGTAAAACGATACTTTTACGTGAAACAAAACCTGTAATTTTTACATAAAAGAAATTCTTATATTTCCGGAAACAGGATCTTTAATCTAATCAGTATGATCCAGCTATGCAAACCAATTTAATAAGTATGGATTGTAGATGTGAGGCTTATTTCGTGAAATTTACATATATGTAATAATTTTGGTAGACTAAATCGTGCAATAAGAAAAGTTAAACAATTTGTTGAATATAGTCTGCTGCCGTATTACAATAAATACTAGGACAAATGAATATTTATTGAAAAATATAACCAGCAATCGACTTCGACATCACTTCAAAGGCTATGGACTTGACTTTAATTAACATGAAATTCTAGATGAATTTAAAAATAAAAAAAAACTTTTCTTATAATTGGTTACAATTTCATCAATCATAAAAAAAATGATGTAGGTGAATGTAATTGAGTTAAAATAGCTTTCTTTTCGGAATAATTTTCTGTTGAAATTAATATTTGTGGTCTTTAATTTTTTACATTGTGAAAACCTTTTTCTTAGATTAACAAAATATATAGATAATATCGATTATGACTTTCTACACTTAACATCACCACTAATAGTATTATTCTAGTAAATGGAATGCATTTTTAAATGGCACATTTGTTGTTTTCTCGAATTCTCAAGCTAGCAGAATTTTGTCAATGAATGAAGTGTTGTTATTTTTATTTATTTCATTACTTTATTCTCTTGTAATCGTCAAAATGTTTTCTGTAGCTCTGAAGGATGCGTAAATATTCGAAACGTTGTCATCTTGTGACATTACCAAGAAAAGACTATCTATTAAAAAATTCAAAATCTCCATCTACTATTTAATAGTTATTTGCATCGCTTTAAGGAAGTATAATTTGAGTTTCTTTTCTTGCTTTTTGCACTATTATATACAGGGTGATCAAATGAATCAAAGGCGTTAAAAAATAAATCATCGGGAACCTGTCAACTTTTTATGAAAAGGGGCAGATTTTTTCCACTTGCACCTCTTAGTGAGAGTAAGAAACAACTCAAAATATTTTATTAGGAGTCGAGTAGGATGCCATGTTCTTGAAATTGTTTAATAGTTTGGTGGAAAAATACAAAAAGTCAAATCATATTTAGCTAATTACTTTCTTGGTATTTATTTGATGGAATGTTCAAAAAGATACCCATTTGTTTTCTGTGGATTGTACTTTTTAGATATCCCCACAAAAATTAATTTTGAAGGGATAAATCTGGTCACCATGGAGACCAGTCAATACTATCTCTTCTTCTAGTATAATGATGCAGAGGAGCAGAGTAGTGTTGAAACACCAAAGTATCATCATAATGTTGATAATTTGTAATGATATCAGTCAAAGTAGGGTTTTGATAGCATCGTCCAGTAGTTGTAAATACAGTTCGTATTACAGTTTGGATGAAGAAAAATTATTATTCCTCAGAGAAGCAAATATTAACAAGATCACCATTTTCCACAAAAAGAGGCAGCATTCAATGGCCTTCAAATTTGTATCCCACAATGTTTTTTTTTTGTTGTGGGGATCTAAAAAAAATAGAACACAACCAGATAATCATTAGATTTGCATTGAAGAATCAAAAGTAAAATTTAAACAGATATACCGGTTAGAAAAAGAAAACCTTGTTTGAAGGTGATTGACAATGTTTCGTGGTGCATTTCATCAGTTCGGACTTCCCTTGTCTAATGTAATATGAATTGATTTGAAATCCATGAAAAAAATTAAAAAGATTAACCGAAAAAAACAATTTTATTAAACAAAAAACTGAAATTACGAAGAAATAACATAGGTACAAGCAACAATCAAAAAAATAAAACATAGAAATATTAATAAAAGCTGAAAAATAAAAATATTATTAACAAAAAATGAAAAATTAAAATATTCCAAACCAAGTTACGTCACGACATTTCGATTGTTAGTGTCCATAATCGTCCTCGGGTGATAACTGGACTTATTCCTCCGAGATCTGACTATTTATAGGTCATCTGACTATAGATCTCCACAAGGAAGAGAAGCCGCCACAACCAGTACTTGTACTTCCCTACATCAGAGGATTATCGGAAAGTATAAGAAGAATTAGGTCCAAGTATAACATCAGGACCTCTTTCAGATCTGGAAACACTATCCGTAGCAGCCTCACAAAAACCAGGTCTCCAAACGCGGACTGCGACTCCAAGAATTGCATTTACCGGATACCCTGCGAGTGCGGAGAATCATACATCGGTGAAACTAAGAGGTCATTGAAAGTTCGCATTGCTAAGCACAAGAAAAACACACAGCGAGGAGAAACCAGAAAATCCGGAATAGCAGAGCATGTTTGGACTGATCAACATAACATCAAGTGGGCTCAAGCTGAATTCATCCACAAAGAGGAACATTGGTTTAGGAGAAAATTCAAAGAAGCCGCGTATATGTTGTCCAACAACGCATTTAGTCAAGCTAACGTAGAGGTACGTAATATATGGAAACCTCTAATCAAACGAAAAACGACCAACTCCCGCTAAACCAATGAAGCGAAGAGAGGAAAGAGGGGATAGGTGAAAGCACTCGAATGACCTATAGTCAGATCTCGGAGGAATAAGTCCAGTTATCACCCGAAGACGATTGTGGATACTTACAATTGAAACTCGGTGACGTAACTTGGTTTGGAATCTTTTAATTTTTATTTTTTGTTAATAATATTTTCAATTTTCGGCTTTTATTAATATTTCAATTTTTTATTTTTTTGGTTGTAGCTTGTATGTTATTTCTTTGTAATTTCAGTTTTATGTTTTAATAAAACTGTTATTTTCGGTTAATCTTCTTAATTTTTTTCAGGGATTTCAAATCAATTTATATTATATTAGACAATGGAAGTCCGAACTGATGAAAAAAACTATAGGCAAGCGACCCTGTATACTTCCTGTTTTTCTTACTGCTATGTTCCTCAGAACTATATTTTTGGTTTAGAAGACATCTGATAAACAGATATTTTTTTTAACTTTTTGAGTCCTATATCACACAGGTAACAGCCGTAGCTGTCTCTCTGGTAATTTCAGTAGATTTCACCGAGCTGATGACAACAGTAAGCCAGAAACACGTGTCTGCAGTTTCTTTTTTTTGTGCTTAATTTATGAATTTTCTTTTTATTAATATATAAATGAACCCTCATAAGTAACATCAAATTTGAAGGAAATATTTCATCAATAAAGGAAAAACAAAAATTATAAACTGATGTAGGAATATAGTACTTATATAGTTTCAGAAACAGAAGGGTGTTTATGAAAGTTTAAATTAGCAAACCCATGACTTCTGAATGAGAATGCAAGAAACGTAGTTTTGTGAAAGATTTCATGATTATAGAAAAATCAAAATAAATCCGGACCTCAGATTATGATTTGAATATGGAATGTTTGAGAAAGTGTCTTCTATGAAAAACAACAAAGGAAAAGATTCATTTTACAGTTTTATTGATGTTTCTGAAGGTACTGACAAAAACTTTTTTTTTTCAACAAATAAAAAAGCTCTGGATTTGCTCAAATATTTTCCAGAATAACGTAAAGGTCCAACAATGATCTCAGCTACCTGCAATTTTATCAGCAGCAGCTAATAAATCAATAGTCTTGCATTATGCAGTTTTTGATCACTAAATGAATTTATATTTTCCATTTATACTGGATGTTTACATGAGTGATAAAATATGTACTTTCAGTCAAAACATTTACCCTATACTTTCTTTTTGCTTTATAAGATTTGCAACAAATAATCACTACACTATTATTAAGTAAAAGGCATTTCAAATTTACAATTAATGTTTTAATAGATATTTTATTACAAATACTTATACTATGTAGCTTCCGAGTTTTGTTTAGATGAGTGAAATTAAATAATAATTTATAAAAGACGTAAAACCATTCAGATACTATTTGAATGAAATGCAGCTTTTGAAAGAAGCGTATGATCCCCCAGCAACTTTGAATGCCAAACAACCTGTTACTACCAAAATAACATACAATGGTACGAGGCAAGCCGAGTATGGTTGACTTCTGTTCAATAGTGTTAAGCAAGAGACTAGTAGGTGACATACTATAACATATATTATATGGACTATGTTTTTATTATCGAAAGCATTGAAAAATATTACGCTCCAAAATGTGTGGAGTAGTATAAAACATAAACTTATAGCAGAACTTGCGAGGAAGAACATTTCGGTGCCGGATTTGAGTCCCATGGTCCCAGGTCCTACAGAATCTGCTACAACGTTGACTAGCGAGAATGCTCCACTCATTACTCCAAACCCCAGTCCACTCACATAAGCCAAAATATGTTTGTTTTCAATCAAAGTAACACTGTCATCCGTTATTTTCTTCAAGCCATTTTCTGCCTTTCTCAGTATCTTGTATATAATAAACCTGAACACTTCTTGGAAAATAACTGCGAACACTAATCCAAATGCTAAGTCTTTTCGTAGGGGAACTACAATGTACCACACCAATGAGGAAAATAATAGGGACAGCAGCCAGAAAAATGCCGCAGCTATAAGTATAATAATCCTTACTGGGTCATGAACTATAGTGAACAAAAACATTGCAAAGGGTGAGCCAAAGGCCAGAAATGTACAACCAAAAAATTCAGCTACCGTCATTTTACTGCTCACATTTAAGAAATAACGAAAGTGAAAAGTTTATACATTTGACATATTTTGATTTTAAGTTTGTCATTTGTCAAAAATTATTTATTACATCCTCTTCTTTTCAATTTATTCTTCTTCTTTTATTATTTGTTGCGTTCATTTTATGGTCTCCACTAAAATGTTATTTAAACATAAGGTAAAAAAATTTGATTTGTTTTTTTCCTCTGGTCGCGTTTTTCTTCAACTTATTCAATTCTGAAAATGATCCCACATTTTTTTTTGTTAAGAAGCAGAGGTAGAAGGCCAAAAACTTTCTTTCCCAAGAATAAGTCATTCCTGAAATTATAACACATTCAATTTGAACAAGATTCCTTTTGACTGAGATATAATCAAATAGGTGAATGAATGTCATAACGATGTCATCGATGACACAAGTAGATCAAACTCATTCCGTAACATGAAAATCATAATTTATGAATGAATTGTGTGTTTTTTTATAATGCTATCCAGATTGATACTGAAGAGCCCTAAGGCAAGTGTCTTTCGGCGAAACATCGATGTCTACCAATGAAGATGACAGTGGTCCATGTATATTGTGTAGAAATCCTGTGAATGATATCTGATTTAATTCCATAACGAATGTTTGCAATACAAACTAAGAAGAGAAAAGTGTTTTCTGAATAATTCAGTGTTCTTATAAAAGTATTTGTTTCGAAAGAATTTTTCTTTCGTGTAATTCAATGTTTAAGTATATGAAAGTAGCTGTTTCAGGAGGGCTTTTTCTTCCAGTCTTTGCATGATCTACACATCTATGTATAAATTTACTTCTTTAAAAATTGATTACGTTATTCCTTTCTTAGGAAGATTCCCACATTTTTTATATCAAGATGGAATAGTAGTAAGCCAAAACCTTTTTTTCCAAAAATTATTGAGTTGTATGTACCTGCTGACGAGTTAGACTATCATGTATCATCGAATGTTTTTTTTTTTTCACAATCGTCGTCCATATTAACCATAGATAATAGGGGTGGCTGAAGTTGGGTGCGGGTTTTGCTCAAATGTTTTCATTTTATGACTTTTGTGTAAGCTTTTGTGGTATGTTCCCTCATAATGATGCTAACCGGGGAATACAGCTTCCTATAAATCTTCCGAAGTGAATACTATCTGAATACGGAATAACAACATGAGCTTACGGAGTTTTGTAAAAAAGATGAGTACAAACCATAATTTATATAATGATTTAACCTTTGAATTTCCAATGGTGCACATGCGCATTACTTCAATAGAGGCCATTTAGAACGGGCGATAAATACTATACAATTGGCTTCACTTTCAATCTTTCAAAGCATATGTAGGTGCTTGATCTGCCGTATTGTATTGTAATCCACATATAGATTCAAGATTCATAAACATAAACATTGGTGAATATATCAAATGAAATCATCGCTACTCAAATTATTGAATAATAAGCGATAACTATCGTAATTCAATGAATTAATCAGGTGATGTGTTGTGATTTTGATTCTAGAGGTAAGGCATGCAATATCAATATATCAATGACTATTGATTTTTGAAATGAATGACTATTGAACTGAAATCTGAAGTTCATAAGCCATCTTGTATTTCCATAGTAATAAAGGTGTGGTTATGGTTTCTCCAGAAAAGTTATCAGAATGAGAATAAGTGATAAGGTTCATTACTGCTTGTTTCCAGCGGCGGCCTAACCCATTGCGAGGCTCCGGGCGGCAAGTCTTTGTGAGGCCCTTTGCCTCTCGTGAAGAGTGCGTGAATAACGCCTCAAATGTTATATTATAATGCACATGAAATAAAGCAAAAAGTTTTTTGTTATTTTTTGATATCATTGAAAATGGAGGCGGTAAAGCAAAAAAATAAAATCTGTAATTTTCAGTTTTTTGCAAATATCTCAGAAACCGTTGATGATTTTATAAATCTGAAAATACCACTGTGTTGCATCCCTACAGTGCATTGTAGTGTGCTATTATCCTCAATCACACGACGTTTCGACAAAATCTCATTTGTCATCATCTGGCGTTTTCTGTTAAGTGTTCGGAAGTTGACCGACTTTACTCGATCCACTTCCTCCGACTATATAGGTAAATTGATGTTTGTTACGTGTTCCGAAGTTGACTGTCCTTACACGATCTGCTTCTTACTATACAGTGCTAGTCAAAAGTCCCCTCCCCCCTCGTATCTTTTGAACGGGTATACTTCTAATAATGAAATTTGGAGGGTGGAAATAAACGGATGTAGGCTTCTTAACTGGTCATAACAGGTGACGCAATAGTCATAAATGACGTCACAAGGCCACTGTGACCAAAAATTTTAAATGGGACCCTATGGCAAGTGACAGCTCGTTTGAAAGGTATTGAAAATACCTATTCAGTCATACCAATTTTGTTTGGGTTTCGGCTGATTTTGATTGATAAATTGAAGAAATACGAAAATTATAGTTTCGCATTTAATTAATAAAGATTTAAGAACCAGTTCTTATAATAAGTGTTCAAAATGTGCTCCATCTACTTCCTGGCAGTAATGCATCNTGACGTCATTTATGACTATTGCGTCACCTGTTATGACCAGTTAAGAAGCCTACATGCGTTTATTTCCACCCTCCAAATTTCATTATTAGAAGTATACCCGTTCCAAAGATACGAGGGGGGGAGGGGACTTTTGACTGAGTTCTTCTTCTTGATTGACCTCTTCTTCCCGTAAATGTATGAAATGTTGAATCTAAAGTTCTCACGGATGGGAATGTTCTGAACTACTATTATCCTTAATCACACGACGTTTCGACATAATCTCATCTGGCGTTTTCTGTTAAGTGTTCGGAAGTTGACCGACCTTACTCGATCCGCTCCCTACTATATAGGTAAATTAATGTTTGGTACGTGTTCCGAAGTAGACTGTCCTTACACAATCTACTTGCTACTATATAAATATTGTTGAACTCAGGTAAAAATCAACAACAATATTTATACAGGTTGTAACTGAATAAGTGTAAAACATTCAAGGAGGTGATTCCTCATCGAAAAAAAGATAGGATATTTCATATAAAGAAATTTCATTGGAGCATCCCTTGTACATAAAATTTGTATAACAATTTTTTTCACAAGCACT